GTTGCTGGCTTTATGGAATAATGTGTATCTTTCCTGTTAACGGTATTTGTTTCATTTTCCTATTTTATATAATAAATATGTTACTCTGTAACTACAAAAAGAAATAAGACTATTTAGAAAAATACTATATTGGCATTTTAAATTCATCTAACTTATTTCATATTTTCTGATATGACAATTTTTGTTTTACTGTTTAGTCACTCAAATTGTTCCTTTTTCTAATACTTTTCAGGAAGGATATAAAACAATAATGAGTGAGGCCTTTTCAGTTCAAGTGGTTTCGTATTTCAAGAGAGTATGAAGCAGGAGAAAGTCTTTAAAAATAAGTAATAACAATATTGTTTTATAATATTACTGCAATTTTGAATATTTAAATAACAGACACTGAATAATCTTAGAAATGAAAGTTTCCCCCTATGGGTTCCCTCTCCATAGAAGTGACCAAGGTTAACATTTTTAGGAATTCTTCCAGATTTTTTTGTACTCTGAATGTATGCATAAAGATACACAAACGGGATCAAGCTGTGTAGGAAGCAACTGAAGCTGGAAATTTGTCACATGAGTGAGGACTGAGGCAAGTCCAGTCCAAAACAAAGAGCACCTGAATGCTTGTCCAAGAACTCTTTAGCTACAAGCCCAAAACAATCTCAGCAATTAGTTGCTAGGCAAGCCTGTGTCACATGACACTAACTTTGTCAAATGTATAAATGACCCTATGTTGGTTGAACAGTTTCCTTTCCTCCCATCTGGAGTGAGAGGGGTCCACCTGACCTCAGCTTTTGTCTCTTATCTTTATTTTTCCCATCCTTTCGCCATCCTTCCCCCTGGAAACATTGAGAGCTGCTCAGGAAACAGCACAGCTACACATATCATTTTGCTATTTGCCCTTTACACTTCATTTCTCTATTTCATGTTAGATTTAATGCTGTGTGTGTGTGTGATGCTAAAGAGATCAAACCCAGGCCTCATGCATGCTAGGCACTTGTAGTGGTTGACTGATTGTGTCAACTTGAGAAGTTTAGAAGCTTAACTAAATTGGCTCAGCAATTCTGTACCCTAGGGTGTAGAGGACCTACCCTAGGGTGGCTCCTCACCTGGATGGAATAAAAGGGAAATGAGGAAGGATGGCAGGCTTCCGTTCTTTGGAGGAGCTCCAATCTTCACCTTCAGCTTGGACCTTGGCTCCTGGCTTCTAGTGCAGATTCTTTGGCTTCCACCTTGGATTCTTCATCCTTCCTGTGTAGACTCATCAGCCTTCCACTGTAGACCCATCAGCCTCCTGATATGGACTTGCAGGGAACACTGCAGACCTTGGATGAAACCTTCAGCCTCCAGCATGCAGACACTCTCTGCAAGCTTCCTCATCAAAATCTGTGGCTGATCATCATAAGCCAATCTTGTCATTTCTTATACATGTTTATATTTTGTATTATATCTGTTTCTCTAACAAAACCCTGACTGACACAGCACTCTACCACTGAGTATGCTCTAGCTTTGAATACAGTTTTTTAAATATTGAATTATTATCTAAATCTACAGGTAGGAACTGACTCCACCATACTACTGCAGCCATCTGGGGACATCCAACCTGCCACACGACTGTTACAATGGCAAAGTCACATGAAGCACCACCTGTGCTCCCAGTGCCACTTCAGGGGTCACCAGAGACAACACCTCTCCTAGAAGGCAAAGATGGTCAGACACATGCTGATGCTCAGGACGAACCCACCAATGCCATGCGGACGTCTTCTTCTGTGCACCTTGAGATGCTCATTGTTGTGTTGAGAGATCCATTCTCGGGAGGGGCAGGGGGCCGCTCCTGCGCACCCGAGTCCAGCCTACAATTCCCAGAAAACCTTAGGATGGTGCCTCACCTGGTACCTGGGTTTCCTTCTCAAATGCTTTTCCAGGTCTGGACTACATTTCCCACAAGCCACCGTCCAGTGATCATGAGTCTCTGCGGCCCTCCGCTGTAACCTCTTGGTTCTGGGGCTCAGCAGTTGATCAATCCTGGCCTAAAGAGGACTTTGAAGCAGAGAGGCTAACCACACTTTGGAACTCAGGCCAAAGCCAGCACTGGGGATGGGTACTGAGGAGTCCTCGAAGTGAACGGGAGTGGTCTAAGAAGGTGATGGTGCCGGGTATGGTGGCGCACGCCTGTAATTGCAGTACTTGGGAGGCTGAGGCAGGAAGATCATTGTGAGTTCGAGGCCAGCTTGGGCTACAAAGTGAGCTCAAGGCCAGCCTGAACTGCATAGCAAGACCCTGTCTCAAAAAGACCAAAAAAAAGAAAAAAAGAAGGTGATGGTGTGACTGGGTGTGGTTGATGGGCAAAATTCAGAAGTGGTCCAATGGTGAGTGGCACGTTTAGTGTAGGGATGTGAGTGACTCTTAGGCGCGTGATTGACCAAGGATGTGTCATTATGGACTGTGTACTGTGATGTTGGATTTGCGTGATAACACATGACAGATGGAATGTAGTGGGTTTGAGCAAGCTTCCATGCACCTGAAATGGCCTGAGTGTGTGTGTGAAGTGGCCTGTTGTATGAGCAAATCTATGCTTGTGACCTTGGAAGTGTTTCTCCATAGCTATGACAAACTGCGTGTGGGTGTGTGAGATTAAGAAAGAAAGTGCTTTTGTATGACAGGATTTGAGAGGAATCTGCTGAGAAACAGAAGGTATGTTTTCCTGCCTCTCTCCCTCCCTGCTTCCCTCTTTTCTCCCATCTTTCCCCTTTAGTTCTAGGGTTATTTAAGAAGAATTCCATTCTCAAGGCTAGAGTAAAGTTTTTTGTTTTTGTTTTGGTGAGAGGGGAGTAGATCTGTGGTGAGATATATGCTCAAATCAGTGAAGCTCACTAAAGGACTGAGACCAAGTCTTCAGTACAAAACAGTTTTCCTTCCCCTTACTGTACCACCCCCTCATTAAAGACCTGTTCACAGCAGTTCTTCTCACCCAGTATATCATGTTTAGCTAACTATAAAATTG